CAAGACCTTTTTTGGAGGTGGCCCCCCCTTTTTTTTTTTTTCCCGGGGTTTTTCTTCCCGTCCCCGCCGTTGGTGGGGTTTAAATCCCATCCCCCCCCCCCAGGGGAGGCCCCCGGCGGGGGGGGGGGGGGGGGGGGGCGGAATTTATTCTTTGCGGGTTTTTAAAGGGGGGGGTGGGTGCGGGATTTACCCCCCCCCGGGGCCGGGTTTTGGGTTTTTGTGTTTTTGGCCCGGGGGGGTTTTTTGGGTTTTTTTTCTTTTTGTTTTCCCTCCCAGGTTGAAAAAGAAGGCCCCCCCGGGGTCCCCCGGGGGGGGGGGGGGGGGGGGGGGTGATACGGGAATGTAAGCACTTGTGGAGTAATCGTACAGCTGGTGGTCTACTGGCTGGCTGTAGTGTCGCCGGGAGTGCGCTTGTGGTTTGTGGAGCGGAGAGGGGGGAGTGTACCGTTATTCACGTATGTTTCGGGGGCGGGGGGGCAATTACTTGCTGTACAGCAGTTTACGAGGATTATTGGGAATTATGGGGGGGGGGGGGCTAGAGCGAGGCTCGATGGCTTGTCTTCGCGCGCGCGTTCGTATTATTAGTATTGCCACGTGCATTAGGTGGTAACCATATGTATCGTGCAGGAGGTTAAGCTTAGTAGACGTAGCATGCAACACTTGTGGTTTTTAAGTAGGCAGCTAGCTCCACGCGATTTCGAGTAGGCATAATGAAGAGGCCGCTAGAAAAAAAAAAACAGAGAGAGAGAGGCGCAGAGACACGCTGTGCAGGAACGTTCAGTTAGGTCTTACGGTGGAAGAAGCGTTTTTTTTTGTCGCGTGCGTTTTTTTTTGTAAATACGACCATCTTGAAGGGTGTGTTCTCAGACATTCGGGTGGAGGCCATGTTGTAGAACCACATCATGACAACAGGAACCGGCTTTGTTTCTTTGTTCCCCTTGTCTGGATGCTGGTTCGATGTGGCGAAAGGTCATGGTCGGTTTTCGTGTCTTGGCTCCGGTGTCGGCTCACGGGTGTCGGAGGAGTGGGGTGAGGCCGCTCCACAGGCGTATGTATGCGTGCGTGCGCTGCTGGACCTTTTGGTGGATTTGCTCCCATCCGTCCTACGTTTTTTTTTCCTGGAGAATCCCGACGAAGGAGTCGGGTTCCTTCAGCAGTGTAGGTGTAGGAGGTTTTTTGGATTTTTGTGTTATCGTACTTTTTTTTTTTGTCTGCACGGGTTTCATACGTCATCATCACACGAACAACCGGGAAGTTATACTCGGGGTATCATTGAGTGCGGTGTTCTGTTTGTTTTTTGGATGGGGTGTTTTCCACGGTGAAAAGGCTCTTTTGTGTTTTGCCCGAGATTAAACTTGTTGGTTAGGTTTTAAAGCTGCCTAGCTGTTCTGTCTTTTTGTTCGGGTCCCTGTTGAGTCTCTCTGTGCTGCTGCTGCTGCGGCTTCCCGCACGCCGGTGTCCCCTGGATCCTGGTGTCTTCTCGCGTCGTTTTTTTTTTTTTTTTAACGTTCGTTGTACCTTTTTTAGCCAGTCCTGTGGGGGACACCAGTCCTCTTTTTTCCTTGTCTATATTGTTAGTTGTACGTTTTCGAGAGCCTCCCCCTCATGGAATCCTCGAGCCTGTTGATCTTCATGTGGGGTACACAGTATAGCTCGGCGGAATGCTGCTAGTCTCGAGGTCCCGATATAGTACCCACGAAATCGGCTCGCTCGGATTGAGCCCGATATGTTTCCCTGTTCTGAATAGTGCAGGCGGAACCTGCTATATCGGGACCTTGACGGTAAAGGGTTGTTCTCCTTCTTTTCTTTTTTTTTGTCCATCAACGACATCGTCGTGTGAGGACCGCATTTTTTGCGCCATGTGGTTGTTGTCGTCGTGTTTGAACCGCATTTCTTACGCCATGTCGTTGTCGTTGTCGTTGTCGTTGTCGTTGTCGTTTTTTCTTTGTCGCTGTCGCTGTGTGACACAGGCGTTGTTGCCTTTGTGCCTGTGTGATTCTTTAGTAACTGGCGTCTGCCTTCCCCTGCTGGAGAGAAAGTGCCCGAAGCGATCGATGGCCCGTAGGTGTGGTTTGGGCTGTTTGTTCCTCCCCCGCTTGCGGATCATCTTCACCTCCCCGTCTGTGCTGGATGGGCATCGTATGCGTGCCAGGCAGGGCGCGCATGAGCAGTTGGCCCCCTGCGACAGAGCAGCAGTACTAGTTAGTGCTTGTTTTCGATGTCGTCGTTGAATCGCTGCAAGCCGACGTTCGGCCGTCTTGTTTCAGTGCAGCGTCATGCGAGAATCATGTAGAACCAATCGTATTCGCGACCCGCTTTTTGTGCAAGGAGAGACGCAAAAAAGCAAGTGTTTTCTCAGCATTTGAGGCACGCCGCCTTGCTGTGCCTTATGTTCTCTTGTTTTTCGCTATTGTTGGCTAGCGGCACCACGAGGGTGAAACAAACGGTTCCCCAAGTTTGGCGCCCTTTCACTCGATAAATGTATGCCTTGAGATTTAACGTATCACACACACCAGCGATTGAGGATCGATAA